TTTAGGTGAACCGTTTATTGTGTCGTATTGCCGGAACGAATAAAAAACAAAAAGTAACCGGCCGACGACGAGCAGTCATTGTAGATAATGGTTTTTCAAAGTCCGTTTAGGGCGTTTAGGCGTATATCTATAATACGTGTACGTTCACGTAACTCTGGTTCTTGCAGCAGTGTCGGATCCCGCGTGTTATCATCTTTGCGTTTATAGATAGTTTTATACATATTATAGGTAGGTACATATTATTATCATATAGGCAATGGGCCTAATCCAATAGGCAGTAGATCCCAAATCGGGCAGCGGGAAATACCAAAAGTGGTGTAGTTAGAATGTTAGATCTTAATTCTTAGAATAAGGCCTGCGTATGTCTATAACTCTTAACTCTAAATTTATAATAATATTATCGTCGTTTCTCAGTAGCAACTGCAACATGTATGATATAGATAATGATATATGTATATAATAATATTATAATACGTATACGAAATATATCAATGCGGTGGCCGCGGTGATGTGTCCGATAAAAATAATATGCGTAAAGTCCTCTCGGCGTTCGAAAATAGCCGCGGAAAGAATTTGGCACAACGTTCGCTCGCCGCGTCGTTGCTTGCGTGCGATATTCATGCAATACTCGAGCGCACCGTCGGAGGCGGATGACCGATATTTTTTTCCATCAGATTCGTATTTATTTATAGTATAATATTATAATATATGAATATATGTCGTCATTGTACAGTGGGGTTTAGGTACTCGTTCGAGACTTTGCGAGCCTTTGAGGACGCAGCGTATAGTGTTTTTTCGAGGTCTGCTCCTAGGTCGGCTTTGCAGTGTTAACAAATTTTCGTCCCTATTATTTCTGTTTCACACATCTATCAATGAAAAATTAAGAACCAAATGTAATAAATAATATTACCACGCTGTTAGAAATGTATTTAGTTATATGATCTAGCCACTATAGTTAACAATTTGAAACAATTAAGTAACTATCTAATTAATATTTATAAAATATATATTTTATACCTATTTAAAAACAAATAAACACAAGTAAAGAATTTGAAAAATTGTTTACAGCTTCTTGTCTTTCGCAAAACATAGAAAAGGATACTATTTAAAAACACATTTTAAACCTATTCCGATCGGGGCTGTCCCTTTCTAACACAACATTATACGAATTCTGTAATCCGTAGTTTTCCCGGAGATATCATACAGTGATTTTGCTTTTCAATATATTATGCAGAATTTTGCCCGAGTATAATATATTATATTATAATACCAGAATACATAGTACCTAGTTCTTTATATTACATTAATTCATTGTTCCCACACGTAGAGCGGTCACCATCGTTCAAATCAAGAATAATTATACATGGGCCATACGCATTATGCACTATTTAACGAGTGATTTTATAAGTACCTATATTATGTCCGACAGTTGAATAATATTGATATACAACAAGTATATATTATGTATAATGTATATCTACTGAAAGTTACCACGATAATTCACGTGAACGATTTTTCAACATACCGCAGACAGATTATTTAGCTTCATCTTTATTTATTACACATTTTTAAACAAGCGATCAATGGTTATTGATGTTTATTATTGCGAGCGCAATCTAAGCCATATTATGTATTGTATTACTACCTGTATTTAGTATTTATAGGTACGCGTTATTATATGACCCTGCCAACAATTGACTATTTTACGATTATAATAACGAATAATTTCTTAAACCAATGTCATGATACTATTTTAAAATGTAAACTAATATTCAAACAACTAACAAGTGTTCTCAACATTTGTCAATATAATCAACGCTCGAACTAAAAAATGATTCCAATACCGTAATATTGTAAATCGTTAAAAACTAACACTAAATTTGGAAAGCTGTAGACTGCTGCAGGTCTTATATGTACAGTGTATAGTGTATACTAAATAAACTAATATAGGTAATTTATGGAAGGTTTTCGGCTATCACAACCACTGATAAGTGATAAATTATAGAATTAAAAATAAACATCCTGTGGTAAACCAAAAAAATGTTTAGATCTAGTTGAATCCATCACCTTACACCGTACACCTTACAGATTTTTGAATATTCAATAAATTACATCCCAAATTACTTTACAGTTTATAATATAGTACTTACTACCTACTATCTGTATTTTGTTTTATATTTAAAACTACAAAGGCATAAATCGGTGAATTACGTATAACTGTTAAACTTCTTCTTTTACACTAGGTATCTGAAAAAGTGCTTTTTCCTTTCAAAAAGCACACTTCACTGTGAGACAAGTAACTGCTGCTTAACCTTACTACCTTACTGAAGGTATAAAAAACTAAAAAAGCATTATGCGATTATTTTATAAGAATGTGAATTGTTCATATTATTACGAGCATATTGTACATCAAATCTTAAACTACACAGGCCATTAATTTAAACGCTGTAAATCATGGTTTCCTTATGATATTTTTTAATCATTCAAACACTATATAGCCAAATACTTAGACCAACTTATTTGGGGACCCTTCGCTTACCAGTAATTGGCATCATAATTATTTTAAATGATAAACATAATTTTTTTCCAATAGACTATTAAATAAACATTAAACATATACATCCACAAATAATTTAAAAATCGTTGAGTATATAAGTAATATTTTTATATTTCTTAAAAAAAATTTAAATATAATATAATAAATTTATAAATTTAAATTTAAAATGTTGTTAAAATATTATATACCTATAGGTAATAATATTTGTAAAAAAAAGAAGTTAAATTGACGTATTAATAACTGGTAGGGTGCAAGGTCAATGTCAGATTAAATAGGGATAAAGGTTAAGTTAAGTGGCAAGGACAAAATATGCTACGACGGTTGTCCTTAAGCGTCAAAAGTTGTATTTGGCTCTGCAGGACTATCCGTCAGGCTTGCATATTCACATTATTCAGAAGGTATTATTTTTATTTTATTTAAATTAAATTGAATTTATAATGTAATTATTGTATAATAATAATATATATTTTCAAGTATGCATTATTGGTTATACTATGCTGATGAAAGCTTTGTAGTTTTCTTTTAATAATATTCAATACTTAGACACTTTATGACTTAGTGAATGAGTAACCTCACCAGGTAAGTGGTAATTATTGATACATGTTTTCTTTTATTAGTATGGAAAATAATATGCATAACAAGTTAATAAAAAAAAACCAATATTTCGTAATTAAAAATAGGTAGTCGATTTATGTATTAAAGTTGATCGTTTTATCAATATTTCGTAATATAATAATTACTAATAAATATATTATGTTTGTATACATACATAATAAAGATACTTTAAAAAACAATTATGGCTATAGGTAATTATGCTGTATCCTATATAACATATTAACATAATAATACACCAAAAATATGTTCAACTTGTATACAAATACAATTATAATTTGTATAATTTTGATAACCTATTCACCTACATAATAAAGAGTAAAAACTCATAAATCATACCTAATATTCAAATTTACGCCGTTTGAGAAAAACATAATATCTATTTCACTACCGAGCGTCCGCGCTTGAGTTGTTTGGTTTTTGTCTGATTGTTATATTCAATCAAATTACGTACAGGTTTTGAAGCCAGATCGAGCGCTGACAGGAAGGTTAGATTTTTGGAACTATACCGGGTACATAATACTACGTATTATATAATATAATATATATATTATATCATCTACTAAAATAAAATATCTACAACTACCTATAATCTAAATAAGTACATTATAATTCTATAACTATTTGATGTATTTTATATTACTTATATTGCCTATATAAATACACATTAGACCAATATATAGGTTTTCAATGTTTTTTAATCAAAATACGTCTGCAACTGCAGCATTATGAATATACCCTATATACGCGTACTATATTACTTATATACTTTTTGTTTATATATTATATATATATTGTATATTGTACACATAGCAGTTACCCGAGCCAGACGCATTAGCAAATCAAATATTTTATATATACAATATACGGTAGAGCTAGAGTGTGTGTTTGTGTGTAGTGTGTGTGAGTGTGTAGCTGCAGCAGACTGTTATGATGACGGACTTGGAGGATGGAATTTTATATAAACGAATGTGAATCGCGATCCAGATGAAATCTCGTCAATGTGTTCGGTTATACACGCATAAGTATTAAGCATACACTCGACCCGCAAACTATATAACATTCAATATTATTATATTATTATGTACAGCTCTCGCACACAATGCTGTCCCTATAAATATATGTCTAACAGAAGCAACCGCCGGGAAACGATTTTCCATTACAAATCATACGTACTACGCGTATATTGTATATAGGTACCTACATGGATGTGTGTGTGTGTGTGCAGGGCGAGGTTTCCTGTGCATTGCCCCCGACGTGGTGTCCTTATCGTGTACGTATTCGTGGACATACAGGAAAGAACGAACGTTGTGTGTGTTTTGGTGTGAATTTCCGATAATTATTATAATTATCATTATTCGATAAGTTTAAGTATAATATATAATATATATATACAGGGTGGGCTACTGATTTTTCCCGTGATGTATTATAACTGTTGTATGACAGAATGGGACCTGACGGCGGTTCACCCCTGTATACATTAATATCGTAATATGTAATACTAAATTGTACAATTAATTTTATCTTGGTTTTCTTTTTATTGTTTATGCAAAAAACTTAAACGCACAATGCGAGAACATTGATCGTGCAAAAAAAAATATCTCTGAAGATAATGTTCACATGCCATATTACCTACATAGTACATTTTATTAATTGTTATTTAATGAATATTATAACATATATTATGTACTAAAGTGAAAACTTGTTTTACTAAACAAAAGTCAAGATTCAACGAAAATAAAAAAAATCACTGCTTATTATGGTCGTTCGGGGATCGGGGTGTATATAAAACGACACAGAATTATTAAAAACAGCGCTTAAATATTTTAATATGATTAACTCGGGATCGCTTTACGGACGAAAACTAGAATTTGCTCAGTCGCCTACAGCTAGTACAAAACACGGAAATATTATTCTATTACCTACTTTTAAATGCGAAACAACCAAGTATATCTGTTTTTCAGGACTTGTGCTAAATATTCGCGAAGTATTCTACGGTTCGCGCTCCCCGTCGTGGCGGGTGTCGTGGACAGCAGAGGGCGATGATGACCGCCAGCGGTGGTTCGCCTGCTGCTACAGCAGGTATATGGAACGGCTGGTAACATCTGCAGCGTTCCCTGCTGAAATAATTTCTGTGGAATAACAGTATTATTTTTATTTTTCAATTTATTCCCGTATATCCATTGTAGGTATTTGAATGCAATATTGTGCTCTTATGTTAACGACTATATTATTATTATTTATTATATATTAAGACTATAGGATGAAAAAACGTTTACATTCTAATGAGATTACATATTTTTGTGTTTACATTTTTTTTCTTTGTGAATGTTATAGAGTTTACGATTTTCCTTTCTATTTGATTAAATACTTAAAAAAAAATTATTTTTATTTCATACATCGAATTATAATTACAAACAAGTTAAGTTATGCCGTGTTTCTGAATACAGGATAGGATTATAAAAGAATATTTGTGAATATTTGTAACAATTTTATAATAATATACCTACATAATAATACAGCACCAATCAAGTCGTATATATGAGTGGTGCAAAATGATGGTCCCCCGTGTTATGTAGTACTGTATAGTGATTTTTTTTTCACACTGACTCCATGTCCACCACAGACAAATGTATTGATAATATATACTCCCTGTCGGGCTCAGTACAGTACAATTAATGATACAATAATACTTATTAACTATACCTAAATGCTAATGATAAATTAAATAAAATTAACAATATTTTACAATTTAAAGAGTGAAATATGTGACAATTCATTTAAATTAAACTAGACGCTTTAACTTGGTTGAGTCATCATAAAAAAAATCAAAATTATTTAATGAGTTTGCTGTTGTCAGCATTCTATTGATCGGGGCAAAAATACTGTAATTCTGACGGTAGCTAGGGCAGTAAAATGTCTATGAAACACGAGTATTAACACGAGGGACATTAAAATGTTTAAATTTTTCATTTTTATTTCATTTTAGTGAAATTATTAAATACGTCGTAGTCGTTTGAAATTCCGACTATTTTTAGACGAAAGAGAAAGTACAGATATAGCATTTTTTTTTTCATTTTCAAAATTAAACAAAATTAAAAAGTAAGTATTTGTAAGATCCGTGGCTTCATACTTATTGGGAACCACTGGTCTAGATGACATGATCTTTAATTATATTCGCGAAATCCATGTCAAATAATAGTTTTTGTGCATTTTGCGAACACGCTCCACTGCACGTTTGAGATTCATCGAATAACGTGTTTGGTTTTAGCGTAGGCTTAGTTCACGGGTATGTCGGTGTCAGTGTAAATGTGTACTTCGCTTTATGGACTAATCCCACCTAGGTGGGGTGCAATCCTTTGATATTTTGGTTTAAGTGTAATGAGCCGATCAGTTTAGGTAATGTACCAGCGAACATTTGTATTACCTACTTACAACAAAATGTTATATTTCTAATAATATAAAAAATTTAAAATTATGAAGTCGTTTTAAGTATATTAAAGATATCCTATACCTACCTATAGTAAGTAAATAAATATAAATTATTATATTTCGAAGTCTAATGCTGATTTCTCGGGAATAAACGAAGTGTATAAATAATCTGCGGGTTCTTAACAATTTTATATGACAAAAATTATGGGTATTTTGTTGGTTTTTAAGTCTAACCAATCCCCACCATCGTTGCCTCAAACAATTTTGAAGCCCTACTATTGACCAGGTAGTAAAAGTCTGGTTTATTTTGAAGCCGCGTATAATTCATAAAATACAATATCTATTCATAAAAAAAAATATTGTCTTATAAAAAAGTAAAACCCAAACCGTGTAGTCAGAAAAAAAAACATTTATCAAGGTCAAAGAATTTATATTTTTTTTTTCTACAGTGGTATCACCAGAAGATCATCTTCCCCTATTTCAGTAAAAGAGGACCGAGGATCACCGTTAATTGAAAACCGCGGGTCATCGCAGAAAATCATGTTTCCACAAAACGCGTCCAGAGACGGCAGGTAAGATGTTATAATATACCTAATAAATTATAATTTATCGTACGCATACACATTTGATTACGATTAGGCATCATCATAGTACAATTAATACTGCATTAATATTACAATAATTATTATTTACCATCGATGATATCAAAATAAAAATGTATATACCCCCCATTGGTTAAATGTTAGTTTTCGTATGTGATATGTGAATGTAACTTTACACCATCATCCCGTGCCTTCGAAGTGATTGCTATATCGACTCAGTAGTTTTGTCAATAATTTATTGTTATAACTTATAAAATAATTACGTTTATATATATTTGTAGTAGGTAACAAAATAAGAATGGGTCGTTGTAGAAAAAAAAATCAGGAAGTATATAAATTATATAATATACTCTGTACCTATATGTTTACAGTTTTGAGAATCTCTTCTCGGGCAGCCTGAGTCGGGTCTGCGATAAAGATTCATAATAATAATAATACATGTCTCATTTTCTATATATACCTTGAAACCACCATGATACCATATTATATATATTTACACACACATATATATATATAATATATATGTGTGTATTGTGTGAGACCCTGCAGTGAAAATATATATATGTATAATAATAATAATAGTATTGACGACGTATTGTACCGTTATGTTGTGTATTATGTACGAAAACGGCGGTCAAGTGCGGAGATCACGATTCGCGAGCACTACGCAGTTCGCACCCTGCGAATAAAAACGAGAAGAAAAGATGGTGGAAAGGGGTGCAGAAATATGGGACCGACGAGGCGAGACAATATATTATATTGTTGTTATTATTATTATAACGTTAGAGGAATGCGACCTTATACTTTCGGCCACAATAAAGATGAAAGATTATTGTATTACTATCAAAGGGTGGTGTACGGGGACGCCAATGCGTGTGTACGATCTATATAATAACACACTGTTAACCGCGGTTGAATGCCTCCCGATATTGCAAATTTTAGCATATTTATTATTTTCACACGTGGGTGTCGAGGTCGTAAAATTATATCGCTGCAGGTACATCAGCTTTATACATATTATAATACCTCAAAATATAAATGCATAAATGCCTACACACACATTGTAAAAGTCTTCTTTTTCGCCTTGGGTCTGTCAATAAACGGATCGACATTTATATAATATAATATACATTTTTTTTCGCCCTCGTATCGAGACGTATATAATTTGTATTCTTATTGTCGTATTTTGTATTATTATATATTTTATGGGAATCCGGTGTTTTGTTCAAAATTCAATATCGTATTATTTCTACTACCTACCTACTGTATAAACTGTGTTACGGTATCGACGTATCGTAGTCCTTAATATATTAGGCTGTTGCTGTATACAGTACCTATACAGTATAGGTTTTTTGTGAAATTGAAGTATAGGTACAGATATACTCCATAATAAATCGTTTTCAAAATCTGATTCAACCTATAGTTATTCTTATTTCCTCGTCTGATATACCTATTATACGCAAAAAAAAAAAATACCTACCAAGTACCAACACAATCTACTATATAGTGTTGTATACTGTATATTATACAATATTGTACGATTTTATCTTCATCTCACTTTGGTTTACTGCTGAAATGTATTAATATTTAATTAGAACATTTTTGGAAACGAAAATCTTGATCAATTTTGTTGTTGCTTTTAATATAAGTTATAGGTGACTATTACTAGGTGTTGTAAAGATTTAAAAAATAAACACAACACACGAGTCTATTATTGGATTTAAACATTATAAATACGTGGTTTCAAAAAAACTATAATCAAACCTTTGAAGCTGCCCAACGACAAATTATTTCATTTAGAATTAACTCATTTCTGTCTGATTGTATATACTATATTACTATAATATAGTATGTAGTATGTTATATTAATATTATAATATTATATCGTCGACATCGTATATGAAAGTGATGAAAAATATTCGTGATCTCGATGAGTGGCTATTTACCAAGCGGAGATCTTCAAACGGTTGAAACTCTTGTCCATTTAACGACAAAATCTTCTCTAACCAGCGAACTATCATCGTAAAGATGTTGGTTAGGTACTAGTTATGACTTATGACGCGCTTGCGCTATTCAATCATCATTTGGCTACAGCAGTATTGTTGTCGAGCGCTGTAATATATTATATTATTTATTAATCTGTAAATATGTATTAGAATCAAATGGTCGTTTTAAAATTACTTTTTTAATGTGCATGGGTACCATTAACATAATATACGAACTCGGCAGATAATTCAGTTCATGTATAAACCTATAATATTAAAGCGGTGTGCGACTGCTCTTAACCGTTTCAATGATTTCGAGTCGTGTTGTATTTAATCGGAGGCTACATTCGACAAAGTGGTGCTTATTACAAAAATAATATAATCATATTATAATGTGTTTTTTTACAAACTAATTAGTTTATAATAATTGCATAGGGAAATAAAAAAGTATCCCGCTGTTACCGTAGATGACTTCGTGTGTATAATTTATTTATTTATATTATTATATTATGTATTTCAATGCTCTCACTTTATACAGTATCCTTTATTCCTTTTGGATGTAATAATAACAACTGTACATTAATAAGACGTGTTTATTGAATACAAATACCTAATTGATGCAATATGTGAAGGAAAAAACGCCATCGCATGTACTATAAACTATTCTTCCGCCAACTCCAATTGTCTGATCTTTTGTGTTTAGTAGAAAACTACTCTGTTGGCGTGTTATTTATTTTATTTTTTACACATGGTGGTCGTTTTGTTGCGATTATACTTATTTTCTAGTCTTACCCTTACGAAGCAATAAATGCATACAGTCCATCGCCAATGTTTCCCTAGAAGAACAGAAACAGATTTTGTCATTATAATATGACATATGTTAAACGTGCATCAATGTCCAAATGTAAAACTATTGTTTACTATGTACCTATTGTGCCTACTATAAAATATTAATGTATTACACTTTGGCTATTTTTTCCAATTTTCAAGTAAAGCTTTACTAAACCCTTGGTTAAGGTACTTAATTGTTTTTCTCTTGATTTTTTGAATTGTAGAAAATAATCTTTGTGATCCGTCTAAAGTCACTCGAATAAGATCTGATCGTTATTCCATTGTTACATACT